TACTAGATATAACGAGATATATAATAGCTTGGAGTTCACTGTTCTTCGGCACAAGATAAATGTCCTAGCACCTTTCTACTCGTCCAAACAGCTATCCTCTTCCGTCCTATATGCGCGTTCCATGACCTAGCTACGTTCTTGTTATAGGGCATCCGACTTGTTTGCAATTCACAGCGAACATGATCGTTTCTGTTCGCAAGTACAGGTGGCAGTGTATCGAATGCAAATGCTGTTCCATCTGTGGCACTTCTGACAACGATGTGAGTATTCATTACTATTTTTCCGGGTTCTGCGCGGCCGGGACAAAGAATAATCCATGTGTATCTACTCCAACTATTTTGATTCCCCCCCCCTTTTTTTGTTACCAGATAACTTTGTTAAAACTTGTTTATTTCTCGGTTACCATCGTTACGTTGATCTCCATTATGGCCACTAGTGAAGAAAATTTTTAAAATAACCGAGGTATTATAGATGAATGAAGTAGAATAGTAATCGAGAATTAATAATGTTCGTTAGAAAAATCACAGCGTAACTGGTGACAAGCGTGTAGCAAGTTGTAATTTCCATTTGTTTTAAAAAGTGTTGCCGATCGGTTGATCCTAAATCAAAATAGTTCGAGGAAGATGCATGGAGGCGCGCTCTGTCAACGATCCTAAATCTTCTCAAGTTTCGAACTATTGCTAATACTAGTTGTCGATATATACTGTCTGTAGAAAACAAAACAAAGAAAAAAAAAAAAGGAAATGATTTATCGAGAATTAGCAATGGGAACTGGATAGTAGACTACGTAAAAAACAATAATCGTGAATGCATCTACTCAGGAATCGTTACAAGCTAATTAATTGTTTCGCGAACCAAACTAGGATCAGCTGCTGTTCTGTGACGACTGTGATCGTGGATACCACATGTATTGTCTATCTCCACCTCTTGCGTCTCCTCCCGAGGGCTCCTGGTCATGCCGTCTGTGCATAGCAGAGTTTCATCGCCGTGATTAAAAATCCTTTGTCTCGTAGATAAGTGACGGATTTTACCTATTTGCTGTGGTGCAGTGGCTCGTTTCTCGAATTAGGAGAGTATTCTATAAGTTCACATTTCCTTGTAGTATTATGATAAACGCAAATGTACTATCAAGTGGACTGCTTCGTTATAAGGTGGTCTATCAACAACGTTGGCAGCATTAACAATTTCCTTTTTTTTTTATTTCGTCTTTTCGATTTAAGTTTCTACTGATTAAGATGAAATATTCATGTACGAACGATGAATATTTGCTATGTTAGATTATCTCAGGCACTGGTGATCTCAGAAAATTAAAGGTATCGTACACAACGTATTTATAACTTTTAACGAACTAGCGTTTATCAGTAAATAATAAGGTTAAAAGGAATGTCTGATATTTTTGTCATTAAAGTTTATGGGATTAATGAAATAACTTTAGTAGTCGAAGACTCGTTTAGATTATCATCAAACGCAGTCGTGTTTTGCATTAAAGTGGTGAGATGATCTTTATTGATTTTTAGAGAGAAAGA